TTAGCATCTCTTAGCCAAGAGAGAGAGAGAGAGAGAGAGAGAGAAATTTTGTCTTGCTTGACAATGCAGTTTGCAGAACTTCATTCTTAAGGTCTTAACGTTGTGTATAATTTCAGTTTCTGACCTAAGGAAAGAGGAGATGGAGCAACTTATCATACAACTTTTATTAGACCGTGTTTTGGTAAGGTTTCTTCCTCTTTATGTAACTTGCTATAATACATTGAAGGCCTAGGGGAAGGAGGGGGGAGGTGGAACCATGGAGGAATTTAGCGTTTTTTTTCTTCCTCGAGGTTCTCTTCAAATAAAAGATCTTTCTCCTGCCTTTTCCTAATTGAGACAAATCAGGAGTATGGTTGTAATCTCCTTACGTTCTGTTGGGATTGGAGACCTTCTTTCTGTATTCATTTTATTATATAGCTATACAAACTACTCGTGCTCTAATTGTTTCTCGATTAACATTCAATCAAGACCGATCTAACATCATCGGAAGTATAATTCTCTTCTATTCTTTTGATCGAAAATTATCTTCTATTTATGAGTTGAATTACTATGACATGTAGTTAGTTTTTCCTGTTCGTTGATTGGCTCATCTATGCTGCTGTATTATATCTTTTCTAATCCGTTTGTGGCATTGGAATAATTTTCTGTTGCTTCAGAAAGAAGAATTTCAGCATACAGCTTATGCTACAAATGCGTATATTACAGTTGGACCATTAGCCCGGCAAGTGTTGCAAGGTTAGGAATTCTATTTTTCAACAGTTGATGGCCACATGAAAACACTGTAAGTACAAGGGATTGTTTTCCCTTGTTATTGCTCTAAAGCCAGAAGTATGAAGGATTTTTTCGTTCTTTCAACAAACAAAAATTAAAGAAAAAATACTGTGTTCTAATTTCTAAACAAATTTTCAATTATTGTACTTATCTTAAAAAGTATGGTATTTGTGAGATCCCAGGTCGGTTGGGGAGGAGAGAGAAGCCATTCCTTTTAAGGGTGTAGAAACCTCCCTCTAGCCTGGGTTGTTACAAATGGTATCAGAGCTAGGACAATGTGCCAGCGAGGAGATGAGCCCCTTTAGGGGGTGGACACGAGGCGGTGTGCCAGCAAGGACGCTGGTCCCAAAAGGGTGGATTGGGGGGGTCCCGCATCGATTGGAGAAGGAACAAGTGCCAGCGAGGACCTTGGGCCCTGAAAGGGATGGATTGTGAGATCCCACATTGGTTGGGGAAGAGAACAAACCATTCTTTATAAGAGTGTGGAAACCTCTCCCTAGCAGACACGTTTTAAAAATCTTGAGGGGAAGCCCGAAAAGGAAAGCTCAAATAGGACAATATCCGCTAGCGGTAGGTTTAAGCTTTGGACTGTTATAGTATTTCTCTGTAAGAAAACTGAACTTAGAACAGTTCCAAAAAGCCTTGAATATATATATATTTGAATTTCAGAGAATTAAAAACACAGTTTGTTATCGAGCTATTACTTGCTTTCTAAGAAAAAAAATGTGAAACTGGAAAAGGATACCAAAAGATATACTAATTGACTTCGCTGTGCATACAGGGAAGAAGGTTGTGAAACTTGAGATTTCCGGCAAACAAAAGATAACTGGTGTAAAATCTAGAAGAAAGAGTGTTGCTTCATCAGGTTTAGAGTATAGACTCGACGAGCTACGCAAGGAACTTGCGTCCATTGACGGAGACATTTTCCCTCATGCAGTGCTCTCTACCCAGCAAATTGGTGTCTTAAGTGCCCAAAAGCCCACTTCCTTGGATCAGGCAAGTTTTCTTAATGTCAATTTTATTTACTGATTTCGTAAAGGTTGGCTGCTGGTTGCTTAAGAAGCCTTTACATACAGGAGTCCCGTTCAATTTAATTACAAGCATCTGAGTTTAAGAATTGCCAAAAAAAAAATCCCCTGGCTGAGATCAATTAGGACCGCACTTATAACTACTCTGTTTCCTGGTCGTCATTTATTTTTTAAATTCATGCTTGTTTCCTCGTAATCACCTTACTTAAAACCACATCATGTAAAACCTGCTTTATTTAGATCGGAAAAATCGTATGATTTTATGAAACCGTGTACTATGGCTCGAATCCGTAGGCAATCCTATGTATGATAGGAGCAGTTGACAATTGAATCCAATTTTGCCTATTATTTTCATTTTCGTATCCGTAATAGTGCGAAAAGATGGAAGGCCCAATTCTAAGTTGTTCAAGAATAGTGGCGTTGAGTGTCTCGCCTCTTTTCCTTAGGATTAGTCAGTTCTATTTCTCGATGGGGGTAAGGGAAGGGATATAACTTAGCGGTAGAGTATCGCCTTGACGTGGCAGAAGTCATTGGTTCGAGTCTGATTATCCCTAAACCCAATGTGAGTTTTTCTATTTTTATTTGCTCCTCTACCGTGATCGAATGAGAATGGATAAGAGGCTCGTGGGATTGACGTGAGGGGCTGGGGATGACTATATTTCTAGGAGCGAACTCCAAGCAAATATGGAGCGCATGGATACAAGTTATGCCTTAGGAATGTCATGCTTGTTTCAAAAACGTATTGTTTTTCCAATATGAGCCTAACTTAACTGGTACAACATTTATACCATTCGACCCAGAAAAAGAACTTTTTTTTAATTTTTAAAATTTTTCTTGGTAGCAAGTGCTTCTCTAATTTTAAGGTAATAATATTCAACTAGTTTCTTTGAACACATTGACTGCAGTTGTGATTGACCAATCCAAAATTCTGAAAATGTTATTAGATGTTTTGTTGCAGTTGGAAACAATGATTGGAAAAGTGAAGGCAGAGAAGTATGGAAATAGAATTCTTGGGGAAATAGAAAAGTGGTCCGCTGCTCAAAGCCAAAATGCTTCGCAAGAAGAGCAAGGAGATGAAGATAGGGCTCCAAAAAGACCAAAAACCATCGACACTCACGTTGTTATTGAGAGCAGCGACGAGGAAGCCTGATGAGTTCAACAAAGATTTTGTGATCAAGAACATCATGTTTCTGATCCACTGGTTTGTAGCTTTCTTCCTCATCTCTCCCCTTCTGTTTCCTATTCAAGTTCCCCTTTTTTGGTTGCTCCTGTGATGCCATGTGCCATACTTAATTTGATGCGATGAGAAGGGGATATGCTTCATTACTAATAGAACGGACCTGAGTTTTATGGGTTTAAAATTTTCAGAATTTGATTCATTCATTTTTCCTCAGAATCTTCCTTTTCCAAGGTTTAAGGAGAGTTTATAATGCCAGTATTGGAACTAGAAGTGCGGAAATGGCTTTAGAATAAGATTATTGATGATGTATCGTTCTCCTCGGTCGCATTATAACATTTGTCTGTTTTTGCCCTTCCATGGTTGGATGGATGTCACTTAAGCATCATAACATTTGTCTGTTTTTTCCCTTGCATGGTTGGATGAGTGTCACTTAAGGGTTGTCGCTTTGCTTGTCGCCATGTGAGGGTCATAACTTATTCTCTTCATAGTATAGTTGTGACACATGGTTTTAAATGATACACTATTCTCCTCGGTCACATCATAAGACTCGTCTATTTTTGCCTTGCGTGGTCGGATGGACGCCACTTAAGGGTCGTTGTTTTGCTTGTCGCCATGTGAGGGTCACTCACAACCTACCCTCTTCATAGTATAATTGTGACACATGGCTTTAAATGATGCACCATTCTCCTCAGTTGCATCATAACACTTTCTGTTTTTACTCTTGCGTGGTCGGATGGACGCCACTTAAGGTCTTCGCTTTGCTTGTCGCTATATAAGGGTTACAACCTATTCTTTTCATAGTATAGTTTTGATACATGGCTTTAAATGATGCACCGTTCTCCTTGGTCACATCATAACACTTGTCTGTTTTTGTCCTTGTGTGGTTGGATAGGCGTCACTTAAGGGTTGTTGTTTTGCTTGTCGCCATGTGAGGGTCACAACCTACTATTTTCATAGTATAGTTGTGACACATGGCTTTAAATGATGCACGGTTCTCCTTGGTCACATCATAACACTCGTTTGTCTTTTGCCCTTGTGTGGTCGGATGGACGCCACTCAAGGGTTCTTGCTTTTTTTGTCGTCATGTGAAGGTGACAACCTACTCTATTCATAATATAATTATGACACGTGGCTTTAAATATGACTTTAAAAGTATCAAAATGAAGTTTTAAGAATGGAAGGCATATGAGTTAAGATGCGTGTGCACATTGAAATTTGGAATCTAAGCATATAGGCTTGTTAGGTGCGTACCCTATAGCCTAGTAGAAGCTCGTTAAGGTAGGAATGGGCTTATAAATGTGTGTAAATAAACAATTTTATAATTTCAAATTATACTAAAGAAAAAAAAATTAATAAATATTGTATTTTGGGTAATAAAATCAATTTGTTTTTGTTAAATTAGGATATTTATTATAAATTATATAAACATATATTCAAGCTATGTTTAGTGGTATCTTACTCCAAGTTTGATGGACTAAAATTATCGAACATATTTTAAATATGCATAATTTGAATTAGTTTTGAAGCTATCGAAAACGCATTGTTTTTTGAATTTCTATTGCCTACCAAAAAGGTGATCATTTTGGACCGTGCATACTGATTTTAGTGATTTGTCATACACTCCCGTCAATGAAGATAAGTAAAAAGGGTTCTCTCCAATGTGAAAATAAACAAAACGAGCATGGGGTCATGGGTAACACATCCTAGACAAGCATGATTAGAATATTCGATATGTAGCCATAGACAACACGCTTTGAACAAACATGACCGTGAAGAACTTTAAGAAGTGTTTAATAAATTTCAAACTTTAAAAATATTAAAAAAAATAGTTATTTTGTCTAATCTAACCTTTTTTAATTTCATAATTTCTAGTTTTTGTCTTTTTTATTTTTTTACTTACTCCATGTTCATATTAGCCTAAATTTGCATGATAAATAAACCGGGTATCCAACGGCTGAACCAACGGTTCGGTTTTCTCCATGGTGTAAAGTCGAACCGGATTCATGGTCTCTCCATATCCCACCGTCAAAAGAACTCGAAACTCCATTTCCGAAATTCCAGGCCCCCAGTTTTGAAGGATTCGGGATTCAACCATGAAGCTATCGTTCTCTCTTCCTTCCAAATCCTCTTCCTCTTCCAAGCCAAATCTCGTCAGACCTTCAAAGGGATTCGACGATAAAACCCTAGATCATGGAGATTTAGAGGATTCCAAGGAGTATGTTAACGAATTTGACGCTTCCAAACCCTTCTCCGAAACCAGGGCTAGCTCCAGAAACATTGTTATTCCTTCCCTCCAGAACGAATGGAGGCCACTGAAGAGAATGAAAAATCTCGAAGTCCCTCTCGGGCAATCGGACGAGTCTGATCTCAAGTTCGAATCGGCCTCTGGATTAGATCCGCCGGAAGATTCGAAGATGTCGTTCGGTCTTAATGTAAGGCAGTCCGTCGACGGTATGAAGAGTGCCGATGATTCGGAATCTGTGGAGGAGCCACGGCCTGCTCCTTTGGAGGTTGTTATGCTGGAGAAGTTTAAAGCGGATCTGAAGAGGTTACCTGAGGATAGAGGCTTCGAGGATTTCGAGGAGGTTCCTGTGGAAAGCTTTGCTGCGGCTTTGATGGAAGGCTATGGCTGGCGTCAGGGTCGGGGAATTGGGAGGAACGCCAAAGAGGATGTTAAAGTTAAGGAATATAATCGAAGAACAGACAAGCAAGGGCTAGGGTTTGTCACCGACGTTCCTGTTGGGCTTTCAAACAAGAAGGATGAGAAAGATAAAGAGAGAGAGCGCGAGAAAAACAGAGATGGAGATAGAGTGAAGGAAAACAGAGATCGAGGAAGTGATGGATTGTCTACTATTGGGAAACATGTTAGGATTATCGGCGGAAGAGATGCGGGTTTGAAAGGTAAAATTGTCGAGAAGTTAGATCATGATTGGCTTGTTCTTAAGCTTAGAGACGAACATGTCAAAGTGAAAGTCCGTGCAACTGATATTGTCGAATTGGGTTCCAAAGAAGAGGAAAGATTCTTGAGGAAACTGGAGGAATTGAAAGTTCAGGATGTAAACAAAGGCCAGAGACGGAGAAGAGAAGTTGTGGAGAAGCGTGAAAATGGTACAAGGGACGAAGAAAGGAAGAACGGTAGAATCTCTTGGGTCACTAGTCATATTCGCGTTAGAATCATCAGCAAAGACTTTAAGGGAGGAAAGTTTTATCTGAAAAAGGGAGAGATAGTAGACGTAGTTGGGCCCTCTGTTTGTGATATATCCATTGATGGGAGTAGAGAGCTTGTACAAGGGGTCTCTCAAGAGCTTCTTGAAACTGCACTTCCTAGACGTGGGGGACCTGTTCTTGTTCTTTACGGTAAGCACAAGGGAGTTTATGGGAGTTTAGTTGAGAGGGATCTTGACAAAGAGACAGGGGTAGTGCGGGATGCAGATAGCCATGAATTACTTAATGTGCGTTTAGAACAGATTGCTGAATATATTGGTGACCCAAGTTACTTGGGATATTGACTCTTTGTACCCAAGATGGTGCTGGACCTGTTTTAGAGGTTACTCTGTTTTATCAGGTACTTTTGGTTCTAATAGTACTTCTTATATGCATACATAGTTGGTTTATCATCTACTTTGTTTAACGCGTTGAAATGTACTCTCACTATATTTCTTTCTTTTCTTTCCATATTCGTTGGGGAACTTGTGTGTTCTATGTGAAAATTGATGGTTTAGCTTATAAGGTCAAATGATGAGAGATGACGATCCAATGTATATGTGAGATCCCACATTGGTTGGGGAAGAGAACGAAGCATTCTTTGTAAGGGTATGGAAACCTCTCCCTAGTAGACGCTTTTTAAAAACCTGGAAGTCCGAAAGGGAAATCCCAAAGAGTACAATATTTGCTAGCGGTGGGCTTGGGCTGTTACCAAATGGTATCAGAGCCAGCCAGACACCAGGCGATGTGCAAGTGAGGAGACTGAGCCCATAAGGTGAATGGACATGAGGCGGTGTGCCAGCAAAGATGCTGGTCTCAAAGTGGGTGGATTGGGGGGTCTCACATCGATTGGAGAAGGGAACGAGTGCCAGTGAGGATGTTGTGCCCCGAAAGGGAGTGGATTGTGAGATCCCACATCGGTTGGGGAGGTGAATGAAGCATTCTTTATGAGGGTGTGGAGACTTCTCCCCGTTTTAAAAACCTGGAGGGGAAGTCTGAAAGAGAGTCCAAAAAAGACCGGCTAGTGGTGGGACTGTTACAATGTTAGAGGGAAATGGCTGGTATTGCTGGTATTGGGGCTAAATAAAATGTGAAAAATTGACAATCCATGGATCAAGCGAAAATGATCTACTATGCTAAGCTTTTGTTGGGATGTTTTACTTTTAATCTTACATGCTCTCTAACGTTAAACTAAGCCTTAGCCCTACATCTCCCACATTTTATACAAGTGATGTAATACATATTCATGTTCTTCTCTATATATGTCATGAGCCATTGTCAAACTTCGTGTTTTCTTTCATGAAAAACTTCAAAAGAAAATCTACGTTCTTTTTGTTAGTCAAGAAGATGCTTGAATTTTGAACATATTGATATAAGAGACTAAAACAGAGTTCTTAAATTTTTGGGACCGTAAGTAATACAGGGATAAACTGTATTTGAACTTTGAATTCTCAACTTGTTTCAGCGTATCTATAGCTGGTAACTGACCACCACTATTAGCTGTTAGGATTAGGATTTTATTGTTTTCAATTAGATGATATTGGGGATTATGCAAATTGTTGTTACTTTCTGATTGATGATTTCATGTATCGTTCAGAGTTTCGATAAATGACATGCCGTGACACGTGAGTTATCTGAACAAGTCCTTTACATGAATGAGCCGCCTATGTGCTAATGTGCATAGTAAGTCGTCTTAGAATGCTCAGAGCATGAAGTGTACGCAGAAAACTCCTGCACCTGCCAAGTGGTGGTGATAATTATTCCCTCTTACCCTCAAAAGATGCTTCTGAATAGTGAACTTATGGTAATTTTCACTACATTTGTTCGCAAAGTGGTGAATTATTGGTGTGTTGGTGATAACTAATTGTGGGGGATATGATATTGGGTTAAATAGAGTTGATCCATTTGCTTTTTGTATGTGATGTGAACTAATTGATAAAAGAATAGCCGTGTGAAAGTGACCTCTCTCTTGAATGGTTTTGCATGGAATGCATTTAGTTGATGCACTATTCCACTCCTTTACTGGAATTCATTAGTTTGCAAGTGATGGTATTTCCTTCTCTTCTTTAATATCTTCTTTGACTAATATTTCCAGATTCAAATCTTCATGAATGGCATCCGTCTTCTCCAAAGTCGAAAGTTGAGAGACAGATAGATCGAGGGTGATGCTCATACTTACACGGGCATAGTTGTTGGAACTAGCTTTCAGGTGCATCTTGTGTAGTGACCTTTGTTTGGATTTATTTTTACGGGGGGAGATTTTTTGTGAGATCAAGCATTCTTTATAAGAGTGGTAAAACCAAACATTGAGTGGTGAAACCAATCTACATGAATTTATATATATGTGACTGATCAATTGTTATACCTTACTACAATACATGCATACATCGGAAGAACCATTGTGTAATTCTTTTGAATGATTTGCATTTGTGTGACATTATCTTCAATGATATACAAGAGCCAATCTCGAAGTAGTAATATCTGTTGCAGAAGAGAGGCCTCTGTTGCTTCCAGGATCTAGCTTGGCTCGAAAAAGCTTGGCATCAGACATCTGCCTCACAAAACGAGTAAATCGAACCCAGTTACTATACTCGAACATGTTCTTGTCCATCCTCACAAAATTGAAAGAAAATGAGGGCTTCTCCAATCCATCTGTGTAAACCCTTGACATCTTTACAACCTGTTGAAATGAGTCATCATCGAGTCCCAATGTGGAGTTTTCACCTTCCAAAGGTAGGTCGCATACCCGGGCAGCCATCAGCAGCTGCCGGAGAAACCCTTCAGGGCTACTGACAGGGTTCATCTGCTTCTCTGCCACATCCTTCATTTCAAAGCATGAACAACAGATAGTGAACCTGTACCTACCAAACATGCGAGCAATTGGGAGATACCCATCTCGGATTGAAGTATTGTAGTACCCAGCTGTTAACTCTGATGGGTGAGATTTTGTTCCATAGTGCCAGTGAATCCCAGCTAATTTAGCTGACAAATTTACTTCAATGCCTCTGAAAATGGTTTCAGCTTCCTTGCATAGTCTCTCCCCATGTAGTAGCAGCATTTCGGAGTACCATCTGAGAAAAAACTCCCCATAAGGCGTATTCCAAGAACCGTCATCGCCTCTAAAAAACTCCGATTGTTCGGGATTGTTCATCAAATTACTAGCACCAATTGGTCCTCCATTTCCCCATTCACGCATCCCAACATTTTGAGCACAAGCATTCAGAGAGGCAAGCATATACTAAACCAGAAAAGAAGAAAACAAAATGTAATCAGAACAACTGGTGCACGTATAGGATACACTAGAATCGTGAAACGGTGAAGAAGCTTTACACATTCCTACCTTATCGTAACACTGAAATTCTCCAAGCTCACGAGAGCGCCATGCCCATGCTAACTTCTGGGAAGGGGAAGAAGGATATCTTAGTTCACCACCAGGACCCATTCCAACTTGAATTCCCTGTAATATGAACATTAAGATAATGGATATAAGAGCCAAATTCAGAGATGGGAACTCAAAAATCAATACCCCAGATACAGCCACCAACTTACCGTTACAATGGCTCCGAGATAAGGCCTAAAAGTGTCTCTGAAATTTCTCATAAAATCGGCATACGCTTGGATAGGTGATCGTCCCCGCAAAACAGGAAGAGTGTCACATCCAAGAGTAATATATTCCATATTTCTCCTCCCAAATCTGTCAGAATATGCTAAATCGGGATCTTTATTAATTTCTTCAAGTACCCATTTAGGAAGGGGAATCCTTAATGTTTTATTGGGGAAACAAAGGGGAAATAAAGGAGATACTTCAGATTCAATGGCAGATAAACCACTAACTTAGAATAACGGTTAAATCTATCAAGACAACTCCTATCTATTTCATATAAACTTAAATCTATCAGCTTCCAATTTTATAGGAGGTTAACAGATTTGATTAATAAATAAATGGAATGTACAAACAAAAAAGTCAATACAAAAGGCCCTTCAATTGACTACAGTCATAGATATATGATAGTAATAAAATAAAATGATACTAAAACAGCATAGCAGAAATTGATAGCAATATCTTTGCAACAAACAAGGGAAAGTAAGAGGTCTGTATAAGACAAAAACTTTGATCGAGTTATGACAGCTGAGTCATGGATGGGAATTGAAGCAAGTTAGGAGTCATACAATTAATGGGCTAAGGACTATGGAGAGATCGACCATGTAATGAAGCCCCAACTTCACCGTCTTTATCATCTCGTCTTATAGTTAGTGTTATCTGATGTAATCGAGAGGGACTTTTTACCATTAAAAACCTTCCTCTTAGAAACGCCATCTTTTTTGCTTCTTGTCATACGACCATTTAGGAGCTTAAGACCCTAGGGGTCACCTTTTGCATTATTTTGATAACCATGCTTCCTAGACCATGATTTTAAAAATATTTGAAAGAAAGAATTCCAACTGCGTCTACCGTAAGAATTCCATGTTATTGTTGATAAAATTACCCTCTAGTGCAACATGTGCAGCAGCCAAAATGGAGGGAAGAGAAGAGACTTCAATGATACACTTATAATTGTTCCAGCTTCAACAATCTCATATCCTCTCCCTTATATGAACAACGACCAAGAAAGGAATTTTCATATTCAAGGTCTAATTACAAGGACAAGAGCCAAGAAGTTACGACAAGCTTCAGTCACATATATTCAAGCTATGGTAAGCTTGTCAAAAGAAATTCTAGAAGATATTGGATTCCTCTAAATGTTGTGCAAAATTGAATTTCAAGATAGAGAAGCATTAAATGCACTTTAATTTGCATTTTAATGAACTTATAGTTGAATTTATAGAACTTAGTACAAAGATGGTTACTAGATAGTACATTTCTTTTATTGCATTATTTTTAATATGGGCATTATTTTAATTGTAATTTCAATATTTGTTTGTCATTTAAGTTAGTTTTTAATATGGGAGTTAAGTTATATTATAACCTATAACAAGCCATTACCCATAACAAGCCATTTTAATATGGAGGTTGTGTACTAACATAGGTTAAGGTTGTCAAAGGCTATATAAAATCATCTTTACTTCCAAGATAGACATCACAAATTGGAAATGAAAATAACAGAGTTTCTATTTTAGCTTTGTTGAGAGATAAGTTTTTACTTTGCAATTTCTTGTATTTAGAACTTGCATGTTAGAGTCATTCAAGTAGAAATGATCCAATCTCTTGTGGAGTGATTCGAATCACGAGTTCAAAAATGAGTTTTCTTACTCTTTCTTGATGGTAATCCGTTCCAAATCTTTCCTTTGATTTAATTCTTATCATTTTTGGAATTATTGAATAATTCAAATCAAAAGGTCTTGTTCTTCAACCTTATCATTTTTGGAATTATTGAATAATTCAAATCTAAAGGTCTTGTTCTTCAACAAGGTATTTAGATCAAATATCAGGAGTCCCGTATAAAGCTCTTGGGTTGAAAATGTTATGAAACTCTTGGAATTTGATCTTGTTGAAAAACAAGAACTTTAGATCTAAATGATCCAAAGAATTGCTGAATGATCCAATGATAAGAATTAATCCAAGGGAAAGTTTTGGAACATAATACCTTGATGATCAAAATTAAGAGTAAAGAAAACTCGTTTCTAGATTCGTGATACAAATCACTCCACATGAACTTTAATCAATACTACTTAAATAACTCTAGCATGCAAGTTCTAAACACAAGAATCTACAGGGTAAAGAGTAAAAACTTAACTCTTAACAAAGCTAAAATAAAAACACTATTCTTTTTTATTCCAAAATGTGAAGTCTACCATGAAAGAAAACTTTATTTTGACAACTTAACTTATGTGCCTCCCTATTAAAATGGAGAAAGTGAAAAATACTCGTAAGCTTACATGACAAACAAATACTGAAATTACAATTAAAATAGTGTTATTTAGTAACCATCCTTAGACTAGTTCCATAAATCCAACTATGAGTTCATTAAATGCAAATTAAAGTGCATTAAATGCATCTCTATCTTGAAATTCAACTTTGAAGGTCTCCAACATCTTCTAGAATTTCCTTCGACGAGCTCACCATAGCTTGCTTGAATATAAGTGACTAAAGCTTATTGTAACTTCTTGCCTCTCGTCCTTGTAATTGGACCTTGAGGTATGAAAATTCCTTGGTCGCGGTTCGTATCACCTACTCTAGGTTTTATCGTCCCTAGTGTCAGAAAAAATTTAACTGACTTGTCCCAATTCTGAATCAAATAGCAGCCTCCTTGCCATTAGATTCCATCATATTGCATTTTTATCCCACATAACAGTCACTGACAGCTTGAACATGATGCCACATGCAGCAAACAATAAAACAAACAAACAAACAAACAGATACCACAAAAGGCTAATTTCTTTAGCTAATAATCATTAGGCCGTCAACGGAGTATGAGAAAAGAGTAAAATTCTGCAGCAATAGATCCTCATGAAAGTACTATAGACTATAATTCTATGTTATAGAAGGTTCTTCTGTTCCTGGCATTCCATGATAAGGGTCAGACCCTTCGGTAGGAGCATTTCAATCTCTCTTGTGAAGAGAATCATAGTTATTCTCACTAGTCATGATATCAAGGCAGTTTGAATGGCCAAAAGCCTTCATGCTTGACAACTTCTACAAGTGCTCCTCATCCATTAGTTCCCAGTCCACAAAACAACTGGTATTTCTCATCTCCTTGAAGAACTTTTGACCGAGGGGGTTGAGGGCAATGGTAAGACGAATTTAGAGTGCCACTGGTCACCTCGATGTATGGAGATGGAGTATGAATTATTGCTACCATATACAAGGCTTCTTACTCTACTTCCATTGTTGGGAAGGAGTCCCGGCTAATTTAGAGGATGAACATAGGTTTATAAGTAAGAAATACATCACTATTGGTCCGAGACCTTTTGGGAAAACCAAAGATAAAACCATGAGCAAAGGTGTACATTGTTTGAGGGCTCCAGAGAAAGGAGTCGAGCCTCAATTAAGAGGAGGCTGTTCGAGGGCTCTATAGGCCTCAGTGGAGGCTCTATGGTGTACTTTGTGTTCGAGGGGAGGATTGTTGAGGATTGTTGGGACGAGAGGAGGCTGTTCGAGGGCTCTATAGGCCTCAGGGGAGGCTCTATGGTGTAGTTTGTGTTCGAGGGGAGAATTGTTGAGGATTGTTGGGACGAGGCCCACATTGGCTAATTTAAGGAATACATCTCTATTGGTACGAGAAATTTTGGAAACCAAAAGCAAAGCTATGAGAGCTTAGATTTAAAGTGGACAATATCATACCATGGTGGAGATTCGTGATTCCTAAAACATGGAAGTAACATACATTCCTACAGTGATTCTACGCGGAAATTTAAATTCGAAGCAATGAAGCATGATGCGGGCGTCAGTTTTCTACATCGTAAATGGCATTAACTAGCCAAAATTGAACACTAAAATAGAGAAATTGAACCAACTAACCAGTGAGGATCGTCCGGCCCCATGCCATTTTGATTGAAAGTAAACACAGCGCGGACTTTAAGACCGTACCGACGAGCCATAGCCACAATTTCCAAATACCCTTTCCAATTATAACTACAAGGCACATCCGTCTCCACCAAACCCCACCAAACTTCAATCACGACGCCTTCAACTCCAGCCGCCGCAAGCGCCCTAAAGGATTGCGACATTGCCTTCCTCCTCCGCAGCTGACCAGCCGGAGACACGGCATCAAGAGGAAGCGTAACGAACACCGCGGAGCCAGTATTCCGACGCTCCAAAGAGAATCCATGCTGGAGCTCATACTGGACATCCCCGTTGTCCGAAGAACCAAAACCACCGGCGGCAGCGGAGAAGATGGAGGAGTTGAGACGGGAAGAGATGAAAATCCTCCGAGTTAGAGGGTAAGGGCGGGAAATGGAGGGGAATGGAGCGAAGCAGGAAGGGTCAGTCCTGGAGCAGCAGAAGGAAGCAGAAGGGGAGAAAGTTGGCGGAGATGGAGAGGCGGCGATGGCCATCGGAGATCGGAAAATGGAATTGAGATTAGGGTTTGGAATGGTGTGGCTTAGAGAAGAGGGAGAGAATCCATTAGAAAGGACAGTGAGCCCCGCCAGAGCAGCCCACCTCAAAACACTCAACACTCTAACACCACCGCCTCTTTCCCCCAATTATTTTTCAATTTCCTAAATTACCAAAAATAAATAAATACACCCAATTTTCAAAAATTAAATAATTTTTTTTTTAATTTTCAAATTTTTATGCTAGGGGTGTACATCCAACCCGAAAACTGGAGAGCTCAACCCGACTTATAAGGATTGGGTTGGGTTCATTTTTTTTAATCCGATCACGTTTGGGTTAGATTTGGGTTCCAAAAGAAATTGGTGGGCTCAACTCGACCTAACCCAAAAACATAATGAAGCCCCCTCCCCCCCCAATTTACCATTTGAAGCAACGGAGATTGATGAGCTTGTAAAATATTTATACCACAATAACTAGAAAGTTCAAACTAGTGACTCTTTGTTATTTCGTCTTTCTCGTTCTTTCTCTCTTGGTCGTTGTCAGTCTCCGTCTTCCTCTTTGAGTCTCACGTCGTCCATCTCAATATACTCGTCGTCAGTCTCAGTGTGCTCAACTGCTCGTCCCCGTCGGTGAGCTTCTGAACTTAAGAAAGAAGAGAAAAAGGGAAAAAGTTCGTCTCCTATTACGTTTTGAATTTTATTTTTTTGGAACAACCCCAACCCCAACCCGGAAATAGAGGGTTGGGTTGAGTTGGGTTGTGTTGTATTGGGTTACCAATCCAACCAACCTAAACTCCGGTATTTTGTTAAAAAAATCCCTCTTTTACATAAATTTTCAAATCTTTTTTTTAAGAAAATAATAAAAGTATTATAACTTAATTGATAACAATTTTATTTTCTTTTATTTTTCTACCATGATTTTCAGAAAGCTTTGGATTTTTAGTTAAATTTCAAAAAGGAAAACAAGTTTTTTAAAAAAAATAATTAATTTTTAAAGCATTGATAGAAAAATAAAGAAAAAACAAGCAAAAATAAAATGTTTTTTTTTAATATAAATATTAGTTGATTTTTTAGATAATTATTGTCTTTTTTTAATCTCTAATTTTTTAAAATTTTTAAAATTTTTTATCCATCCTTAAAAAAAAAAAAAAAAAAAAAAAAA